AGGGGCAGGGACTGATGCAGCCATGGGTGACAGTACAGGTTTACATAGACTAAAATCTCTTTCAACTTTCTACTCCGTCACTGAAGCAACAACTTTCTGAATCCCACCCCAACAGCCCGCCATCCACACGCTTGCCAGGACCCCCGTGAATGCCCAGGGACCTGCAGAGCCACTGGCAGCTTTGGGGCTGAGCTTGGGGACAGCCTTTCCCCTCCTGCACCCCCTTCCCAGCCCTTCCCACAGCCACCTCAGCCTCCCCATCATCACCTAGTCACTGCTCACTGTAAAGCTAGTCCTGGGAAAAAAAAAAAAGGAGTTATGAGACCTAGTTCCCAGCCAGACATTTTTAGTGAATTTTGATTTTATAAAATGAAAAATCCCAGAGATGCTAAAGCAGTCAATCCCTCTTCACACCGCATTCAGTGACCCACAGAGCAGGGAGAGCAGGTGCTCCATGTTCCTTTTTTTTTTTTTTTTTAAACACCATCCATTTAAGAATGGTGAAAGCTTGACCAACAGGCAGCACCAGCGTGGGCTGCCCGAGGTGCTGGCGTGCTGTTTCATTAGGGGATGGCTGCTCTGACCACAGCCTGGTACCACGAGCCCACACTGCAACCGGCGGGGACGAACAGCCAAGTTCAAAGCCATCCCGAGAAACCCCCCCGCTGCTGCGCCGCAGTGGGGCTGGAGGCGGGGGGATTTCCAGGTGTGTGGAGTAAAGCGCATGGCGCAGCAGGTGCTGCCTTTCATCTCCCAGATTAGAAAACAGCACTGGCACCCCAGGGAGCAGCAGGAAGCTTCCACTCAAACGGCAGTGAAAAACTTCCAGGGCTCAGCGTGGGGAAGAGAAAAACCAGTGGGAATGGCAGCTGAGCGGCAGGGGGCTGGCGTGAGGATGGGGACATGGGCTCAGCTGACGGAGGGACAGGGGGGGTTTCTGCACCTCCCACCCCGCTGTGGAGGAGAAACGTGCCCAAGCCCCACCAGTGCTCAGCCAAAATCCCACTGCTGCAGGCAAACCCGCCCCAGAACCACCTGAATAGGCAACTGGAGGAGAATTTGCAGGATCCTTAGCAGCAGTTCATGCTATAAAACCAGTCATGACCACAAACTGCTTCTGCTCTGTGCTTGTGTTTCAAGCTCCCTCTGCTCTCAGCTGCCCAAGAAGTGAGCAAAGCATTTCCAGCAAAGCACTTTTCCTGTGGGAAATCCCAGCTGGCTGCTGCGCGGGGTTAAGGCAGCTCTGTGTCAACAACCAAAGCAGCAGGTGGGGGAAATCATCAAGGCAAAATGTCTCACCCTGCTCCTCCTCCTCCAGGCTCTGGCTCCCACAGCCACTGTTTGGGAAGACAGAAACCCCCAGCCTGGACCCGGCTGCTGCTGGATTCACACCTTGCTCCCGCGGGACATGAGGCACCACCTGGGCTTAAAACAGAAACAATAAGGTGTGGGGGCTCTTTTTTTCTTTTAATAATGGTAGCAGAAGAGATCTTTCCTTTTGCTTCTCCTGGGGAGCAAGAAAGTATGAGCACCCCAGGTGAAACACTGGCTAGTTTGGGGCTTTCCTGGATTTTGGGATCATGCTCCAGCTGGATGCAGGAGCTCTCCATCTCCACACCCCCCCACAGGGCTGAGACTGAGGTCAGTGAAACCCGGTGATATCTAGATGGGACAGACTGAGTGATGGAGCTGAATCACGGTCCGTGTTGGATGGCGGGGTCCGTGCGGCGTCCCAGCTCGCCTGCCCGCACTGCTCCAGCTCCCAGTTTCAGAGGTGAGCTCTGGTGCTGCTGCTGCTGGGAGCACAGAAGAAATAAACTGGGGTTAAAACTTTTTACACATGGGCCCTGTGTCAGCAGGAGCCAACGCAGAGCTGGAGGAGTACCCCAGAGCCCCGTGTGCAGAGCACCCCCCAACCACCATAAAGGGAATGCTGTCAAAACCTTGAGGTAGTAAGCAATGAAATTAGTAAATGAAACAAATCCTGCACTAATGAGGAGAGAAGCAAGTACAGGAATGGGAACTGCGTGTTCTCCCCCTGCTTACATCACGTTTGACCATGAGCCTTTATACACTGCCTGAAAATTGACTGACTTTTCTTCAGTGAATCCCAGTGAGAAGATAATTACTTTTTTTTCTTAATTAAAAAACCCCGGGTCTCTTCTGCAATGTCAGCTCCACTTGAAACTGAGGGCAGCTCGTCCCTGGGAAGGCGGAGGGGGATCTACTCACCAGGCACCCTCCTGAAGAAGACAACACATCTGGCTGTACGACCGCTGCTGGAAACCAGGCAGCAGCGAGCTCCACCAGCAGCACAGGGCTCTGGATCAGGGAGGTCAAGGGTCAGGTTGAAGGAGTCAGGACCTCAGATTAGGACTGTCAGAAGTAAAATAAAATCCCCCAGATGTTTTTTTTTATTCTATATTACTTTTTCTTTTTCCTAACTACTCAAAAACACTCTACTCGACCTGCAACAAAAACACAACACATTGTGTCTG